GAAATTCAGTATGATAAAACTGCCCAGAGACTTTTGATCTTTTGAGCAGCAAAGGTATTTATTGACGGTGCCGGAAGTAAGCCAGCTATTGCTGGAAAAAGGTGCTTAAAGGCTTCACACAAAATCAGTACTTTTCTAAATTTTTCCTACATGATTAAATGCATATTCAAATGATTACAACATCTATCTATGCATATTAATAACAGGTGGAGTATAGGTGGAGCTCAGGCGGGGCTTGGGATGGTACTTCTCTTGGTCCCTCAATTTTGGGGTAGTTCTGTCCTTCCTCCCATGAGTCTGGGGGCTTAAAATCATCCTCCTCAGCTTGACCCTTCTTCTTTCCCATTGTTCTTGACCCGCTCACTGAAGCTTGGAGAAAGCCTTGGCTCCTGGCCTGTTTCTTCTATTCAAATGTCTACCTTATCCTACTGCATCTTAATTTATTACCTCTAGACCTATTACATGTTCTTTTACCATTCTCTTAAGTTTTGGTCCATTAAGTAGAACAGAACAAGCAAAGATCGTTTTGGATGTTGGTAGCTTGTTAGCAGGTCCAAATTTCTTAGTTAACTCTTTTGAGCCTGACTTTCCTGTTTCACATCCATCTTTCCATTTCACCCCTAGGAACTGGATCTCTTTGGCAGGTCCCTTGACCTTAATCCTTTTGATGGCAAAACTGGCTTTGAGGAGAATCTGGATGATTTTCTTTCCTTTTTCAAAAACTCCCTCTGCTGTGTCCCCCCATACAATAATGTCATCAATATATTGTATGTGTTTTGGAGCTTCACCCTTCTCCAACATAGCCTGGATCAGTCCATGGCAGATGGTGGGGCTGTGTTTCCACCCCTGGGACAGTCGGTTCCAGGTGTACTGTACACCTCTCCATGTAAAGACGAACTGCGGTCTGCTCTCTGCTGCTAAGGGGATGGAGAAGAACACATTTGCAATATCAATGGTGGCATACCACTTCGCTACCTTGGACTCCAGTTCATACTGGAGTTCCAACATGTCTGACACAGCGGCAATCAACAGCAGGGTAACTTCATTCAAGCCACAATAGTCCATAGTTAGTCTCCATCCTCCAACAGATTTACGTACAGGTCAGATAGGGCTACTGAAGGGTGAGTGGGTCTTCCTGAATACCCCTTGGCTCTCCAGCTCTCAGATCATCTTATGGATGGGGATCAGAGTCTCAGTTTGTTCGGTATTGTTGTCTATGTACTGTTGTAGTAGCCATTGGCCCTTGTTGATCCTTGACTTTCAACAACCCCACAATGGAAGGATCCTCTGAAAGACCAGGCAGGGTAGACAACTGTTTAAACTTCTCTGTAGCCACTGTGGCTACACCAAAAGCCCATTGATACCCCTTTGGATCTTTGAAGTACCCTCTTCTGAGGTAATCAATGCCAGTCACAATGGGGTGCTTCTTCCATTTGTGCCCTGTTAAGCTCACTTCAACCTCTAACACTGATAATTCTTGACATCCTCCTATCACTCCAGAAATCCAGATGGACTCTGTGCTTTTATGACTTGATGGCATCAAGGTACATTGTGTACCAGTATTTACTAAAGCTTAATATCTCTGTGGATCCAATGTGCCAGGCCATCGAATCCACACAGTCCAATAAATTCTATCGTCCCTTTCCTTCTCCTTGTTGAAGGCAGGGCCCCTCTATTGTTCCTGGTCAGAGTATTAACTGTATGACCTTTGCATTGCCCCATCAGAGGTCTCCTCATTTGTGATCTCAGTCTTTTTGCGTCTCAAGGGTCGTTGTTTTTTCCTCTAGGCCTCTGCATCAACTACTTGGATGGCTTTCTTATTAGCTTTCTTCCTTCTTACTTCTCGTACTTGGGCTTCAAGCTTAGAAGTAGGTTCACCATCCCACTTCTTCATGTCCTCCCCTTGGTCACGAAGAAAAAAAACATAGTTTACCACATGGTCTGCTCTTGGGGTTTCCTTTCCTTCTGAGTGGGGCAGGAGGAGACCGAGACTGATCTCTTGAGCGGTCCCTGCAGCAGTTCCCACATTCAGAACACTCAGAAGGCCTCTCCATCCTCTCCCCATTGTAGGTGCGACTCAAAGGTGGACCCGCCTCTGGCCAAGACTGAGCCAACCAGTGATGGTAGCAACACCTTTGTGATAACATATTTCAGAAGGAAAAAGAAAGTTATTGTGCAGAAGTTACTGAAGCAGAGAAGAACGGAGTAAGAATATGAGAGAAACAACTCTGTAGACACCAAGGTCAGTGAAGAAGGAGGGGGAGAGGAGGAGTTGAGATTGCCCTGCAGCCCGTGGTGAACACCATGGTGAAGCAGGCTGTCCCCCTGCAGCCCATGGAGGTCCATGGTAGAACAGAGATCCACCTGAAGCCCATGGAGAAGATCCATGCTGGAGTAGGTGTATGCCTGAAAAGAAGGTTGTGACCCTGTGGGAAGCCTGCACTGGAGCAGGTTCCTGGCAGGTACCTGTGGACCCATGGAGATAGGAGTCCATATTAGAGCAGGTTTACCAGTAGGATTTGTAACCCCGTGGGGGACTCACACTGGATCAGCCTGTTCCCAAAGAACTGCACTCAGTGGAAAGCGACCCTTGCTGGAGCTGTTTGTGAAGAACTGTAGCCAGTGGAAAGGACTCACAATGGAGAAGTTTGTGGAGGACTATTTCCTGTGGGAGGGACCCCATGTTGGAGCAGGGGAAGGACTCCTCTCTCTAAGTAGGAAGCAACATCAGAAACAACCTGTGATGAACTGACTGTAACACCCATTCCCCATCTCCCTGAGCAGCTGGGGGGAGGAGGCAGAGAATCAGGAATAAAGTTAAGCCTGGGAAGGAGGGAGAGGTGGAGGGAAGGTGTCTTTTAGGCATTGTTTTACTTGTCATTATCCTGTTCTGATTTTGATTGCTAATGTCTTGGTTTAAAGACAATGTACACCAGGGGGAGGGACCTCCAATGGAATAGAAACCTCTCCCTCCAAATTACTGTAAATTTGAAATTATGAGATTTCTGAGCAAAGTGTAGAAACTAATAGCAGAATAAAACAAAAACCCAACAATAACAGAGAAGATGTCACCCAAAAATCACTCTTTCACTTCTGTGCAGCTGAGGCAACAATGCAGTCCCAGCACAGTCATGTGATCTTGGCAGTGACATCTACCACACAGAAGCAACCACAATGGCGGCAGCAGCAGGAGGTCAGCAGAGGTGAAGGCTGTGCAGGTGGGAAGTTGACAGGTTGGAGTGGCAGGCAATTGCGGCATCAGCAGGGTTGTGCGGGCAGGAAAAAACCACTGGTATGCGGGGTGGTCCCGGTGTGAGGTGCTTGCCTTGGACGGTTGGCAGTGAAGGGCACAGGGGCTTCGGGGAGAGACAACACTGCTCTGGTGGGTGCAACCCTTGGCAGGAGTGAGCAAGGTGGCAGTGGTTGTGGCAGTATGATATGATATATCCACTCAGTACCATGCTCTTTAGCACAGGTGGTAACTAAGTTATTTTTGAAATGAGTCCTATTGTCTGACTCAATTTGGTCTGGGATGCCATGTCACCACAGGATTTGCTTTCCAAGGCCCAGGATGGTGTTCCAGGCAATGGTATGAGGCACTGAGTATGTCTCCAGTCATCCAGTGGTTGCTTCCACCATGGTAAGCACATAGTGCTTACCTTGATGAGTTTGCAGCAGTGTGATGTAATCAATCTGCCAGGCCTTTCCATATCCATACTTTTCATATCTATACTTAGTCCATCTCACACCATACCACAAGGGCTTCACTCTCTTAGCCTGCTTGATTGTAGCACGTTTCACAGTTGAAGGAAGAAGGGTTAACTGAAGCATCTTGCTACAGGGGCCCACTGTTCTCCCCCCCCATTTCTCTACCTTGCTCAAAGGAGATCTTGTTCTGTACCTAAAATATTTACAGATGCATAGAACAAAGAGCCCAGAGGTAATAAATCTTAGCCAAAGGAGCCAAGGTGACATCTCAATAGGTGAAATAGGCTCGGATCCAAGGCTTTCTTGAAGCCTCAGTGAACAGAACACGAAACAATGGAAAGAACGAAAGGTCACGAGGGTCACCTGATGAAGAGGAGAGAATTTGAGACCCCATGAGGAAGTAAGGCAGGAACTCCCACCATAATATTCCTCAAAATGGAAACCACGCCTCAATCTCCACCCCTAACTCCACCTGTTATGAATATTGTAATTTATGTTGTAATCATTGCCAAACCTGTATAAAATGCTCGCTCTAACCTAACTAACTGGGAGCTTGTTTTCCCAGCACTAGCTGGCAGGCTGCCCGGCCGTTAATCAATAAATACCTTGCTGCTTTAGACATAAAACTCTGTCTAAACAGTTTTTTTATCTGCTCTTTTCTGGGCATCACAGTCATAGATAACCTGGGAGATAGTGTCCATGGTTAAATCTGCCCCTTAGTCTCGTGCCCACCTGTAGGTGGCATCTGTTCCCTGATGACCTGAGGCATCGTGGGCCCATGGAGCTAAGAACACTTCTCCCTTGTGCTGCCAGTCTAGAGCTACCTGAGACACTTTGACTTGCTCAAACTTGGTATGCTTGTTCTTTGTTGCAATGTTCTTCATTTGCTTGGGTTTTGGGCACATGTGCATATACATGGTAAACTCTCATGATCAGCTTCTTCACCTGAGTGTAACACACAGAAAACATAGAAATGCCAAAAATTATGTTTTACCATTGTTTGATTCTCTGTCAGCTCTCTGCCAGAAGTTCTCACCAGGACTTCCCACTGGACTTTTCCTGCCAAAAGATCCTGCCATTGTTTAAGGTTATCATATCTCCTCGGACATCTGAACTGGCTATATGCCAAGAAACCACGTACAACCTCCTTTGAACACTATAAAACTCGAGGACAAATTTTGGAAAATCAGGGAAGAGGAAAGGGAGAGAGAACTGGTTGTCCCAGGAGCATCTCCTTACCTCCCCTCACCTTTTCTCCACCGCAGTGTGCTACCTACCTGCCATGGGACACTGAGACTCTGCCGACCTGGATGGAACTGAGACCCACCGTGCCACATGCATGAGTTATATCTTATCCTTCCAGCCTCACTATATTCCTGAGGGTCAGAGAGCTGCAACTGAATGGGATCCTACACAGCCTGGGAAATGGTGACCTGAGCAGCAAAAGCACACACTTCCTGCATTCCAGAGAAATAAAACTGTTAAACTGCCTGCAGCTAAAGAGATGACATTGAAAAGCAGCAGAGACAGAGAAAAAAAAGGTAGTAAACTGTTTCTCCTCCCCCCCACTCACACCAGCATGGCAGAAAGGTAGTTTTCAGTGGTATCTTTTCTCTGCTTCTAAAAAATAATCTTAGCATTTTCCAATCTTTCCTTATTTTTTCCTCTTTACATCTCTTAGCAATTAATAAAAATCTGGTTTTGGTATCAACAGATAACTTGTGTGAGTTTTAATTTTGCTCAAGGGTATATTTGAATCTGAAGTTCTTTCTGCAATATTTTAAAGCAATTGTAACACTGGGCAGCTATGTCTTGCTACATTTTGGAAGCCCCGATGGGTTCTCCTTTGCAATGTAAGTTGACCGTCTTCCATCTGTCTAACCATGCCCACAGAGCATTGGCCAAAACTCATGAGTCAGTGTAGAGGTAAAACCTTGGCCACTTCTCTCACTTGGCAATGTCCAAAGCTAGTTGGATGGCTCTGAACTCTGAAAGTTGACTTGATCCACCTTGTCCTTCAGTGGCTTCTGCAACTTTACATGTAGGGTTCCACACAGCTGCTTTCCATTTCTGGTTCATCCCTACAGTGCAACAGGAACTGTCAGTGAAAAGGGCATAATGTTTTTCATCCTCTGGTAGTTGGTTGTATGGTGGAGTTTGCTCAGCATGTGCCACCTGTTCTTCTTCATCTGCCAGACCAAAGTTCTCACCTTCAAGTCAATTTGTGATTATCTCCAAGATCCCTGGGTGATTAGGGTTTCCAATTTGGGCACACTGTGTGATCAAGAAAATCCACTTACTCCATGTGGTGTCAGTGGCATGATGTGTGGAGGGAACCTTTCCTTTGAACATCCACCCCAGCACTGGTAGTCAGGGTGCCAGGAGAAGTTGTGCTTCCATGCCAATCACCTCTGAGGCAGCTTGAACTTCTTCATAGGCTACTAGAATCTCCTTCTCTGTTGAGGTGTAGTTGGTCTCAGACCCTCTGAAGCCTCGGCTCCATAATCCAAGCGGTAGGCCTTGAATCTCCCCAGGCACCTTCTGCCAGAGGCTCCAGGAAGGGTCATTATTCCCGGCTGCAGGGTAGAGCACATTCTTCACCTCTGGTCCTGTCCTGACTGGTCCAAGGGTTACAGCATGAGCAATCTCGTTTGATCTGTTTAAAGGTTTGTTGTTGTTAGGGGTCCCATTGGAAATTGTTCTTCTTGTGAGTTACCAGGTAGAGAGGGCTCAGGATCTGGTTGTGTTCTGGGATGTGCATCCTCCAGAAACCTACTGCACCTAGGAAAGCTTGTGTTTCCTTCTTGCTGGTCAGTGGAGACATTGCTGTAATCTTGTTGATTACCTGTTTTGGGATCTGATAACATCTGTCCTTCCATTTCACTCCCAGGAAGTGTATTTCCTGGGCAGGTCCCTTGACCTTACTCCATTTGATGGCAAAGTAGGCTTTCAGGAGAATCTGGATGATATTTTCTCCTTTCTCAAAGACTTCTTCTGCTGTGTTCCCCCATACAATGATGTCATTGATGTACTGCAGATGTTCTGGAGCCTCACAGTTCTCTAGTGTGGTCTGGACCAGTCCGTGACAGATGGTGGGACTGTTTCCACCCCTAGTGCAGTCAGTTCCAGGTGTACTGCACGCCCAGTCAGATAAAAACAAACTGTGGCCTACACTCTACTGCTAAGGGAATGGAGAAAAACACATTTGCAATTACAATGGTGTCACCACTTCACTGCCTTGCACTCCAGTCCATACTGGAGCTCCAGCACATCTGGCACAGCGGCACTCAAGTGATGGGGTAACTTCGTTCAGGCCACGATGGTCCACAGTCAATCTCCATTCTCCATTGGGCTTACTCACAGGTCAAATGGAGTTGTTAAAGGGTGAGTGAGTCTTGTTGACCACTCCTTGGCTTTCCAGTTCACGAATCATCTTGTGGATGGGAATCACAGTCTCAGTTTGTTTGGTACTGCTCTCGATGCACTTGTCGTGGTGGCAATGGGTACTTGCTTCTACCTTCAAGAGTCCTCCAACAGAAGGGTTTTCTGACAGACCAGGTAAAGTGTTCAATTGTTTAATCCTTTCTGTCTCCACAGTAGCAATTCCAAAGGTCCATCAATATCCTTTTGGGTCATTGAAGTACCTGTTCCTTAGATAGTGAATTTCCAGGATACATGGGACGTCTGGGTCAGTCACAATGGGGTGTTTCTGCCAGTCTTTCCTGGCCAAGCTCACTTCAGTTTCTAACATCGTCAGCTCCTGAGAACCCTCTGTGTAGTGGTTTTGAGTCTAGGCCTTCCTTGGTAACCAGGTTGTAACCAAGGAACCAAGGCCATGTTCCCAGTATTCCATACGATTTTTACATAAGCAAAGATATAAATAAGAAGGGAGAGGAAGCTCTCACTCTCTTTCTTCCGGCAGAATGAAAGCGAAGGTTCTCTGCTGTCATTCTGCTTGGGTGAAGGAGTAAGGCCTAGTGCGTCTGGTTGACCTTGAGAAGTGGATGGTGCTTGTTGGTGCGGTTCTCTGCTATCTCGAGGAAAGTATTTGCTTTTTGTCCTTTTTTCCTTTTTTTTCCCTTTTCCTTTCCCTTTCTTTTTCCCTTTTGGGGGGTTCCCTGTGGGTGATATCTTGTATATAATTCTAAATATATATATTACTTGGAGTTTGGTTGGTTTGGGTTCTTTTAGTTTTGTTTGGTCTTTTCAGTCTGTTCAAGGAGGGAGAGAAAGAGGGGGGAAGATCTTTTTCACTGTCATCCAGGCACTTGGCTGGGAACCAAGTCCAACCTGAGACAGCCTGTCACCCCAGAAATGGAAATAAATTCAAGCTCCACATGTCCTGATGGCATTAAAGTACATTGAGTACTAGTGTCAATCAAAGTTTTGAATTTTTGTGGTTCTGATGTGCCAGGTCATTGGATACATTGTCAGTGTTTGCCCTCCCCAGAAGCCACATGGTGGCATGGGGAAATTCAATAAGAAAATCTAAAACCACAACAGGTAATAAATTCAACTAATTTTCCTAAGTCAAGACCATTTTGCCTGTGTTGGTAAATTGGTTAGTGATCTTTCCCTGTCCTTACCTCAGCTCATGAGCCTTTCTTTATATTTTCTCTCTCCCCTGTTCAGTTGAGAAGGGAAATGATAGAGCAGCTTTGGTGAGCACCTGGCATCCAGTTAAGGTCAATCCACCACAAGAACATTACACAAAACTTCTAAAAGTCAACACAGCTATTAATTTAAACCTTTAAATTTGATCGCATGCAAAATAAGCAAAGTCAAAAGTAGGATTGTCATAGTCTGACATTTTTATAGAATCATAGAATAGTTTGGGTTGGAATGAACCTTTAATGGTAATCTAGTTTCCCCCATGCAGTGAGCATGGATATATCATGGATATATCAGGTAGCTCAAGCACCATCTAATCTGGTTGTGATGGTTTAGACCTGGTTCCCAGTCAAATGCCCAAATTCACAGCGAAAACCTCCCCCTCCCCTCTTCTCCCAGGGCAAAGGAAAAAAAACTATATAAACTGACGAATCCCAAAGCCAGCTGAATTATATCAAAATATATATTTTTACATATATCACAGTCATATACAATTAAAATACTATATTATTATTATTATTATTATTATGTACACAGCAAAGGGACCCCAAACATCCCTCTGGGGGAAAGGGGAAAAAGGGACAAAAAGAAAACTAAAACAGATATGAACAATCAAAATCTGGGAACAACCAATAAATAACTAGTAAAAGAAAATCTTACTACTCTCCTTGAGATAGTAAAATCATGTCAATTGACGGCCGACACTCTCCGCTTCCCAAGGCCTACAAGGTCTCACTAGGCCTCACTCCTCCACACGAGTAGAAGTGACAGCAGAGAACCTGCACCTTCAGATCCACCAGAAGAGAAGAGGGAAGTGGCTTCTCTCCCTTCTTATTTATATAAAAATGTAAAAATTTATATAAAAATAGTATGGAATACTGGGAACATGGCCACTTCCTTGGTTATGAGTTGGTTGCCAGGAAGGCCTAGATTAAAACTATCGCACTGGTCTTAAATGTTTCTAGGAATGGGGCATCTACTACCTCTCTGGGCAACCTGTTCCAGTGTTTCACCACCCTCACTGTAAAAAGTTTCTTTCTTATATCAAGTCTAAATCTACCCTCTTTTTGTTTAAAACAATTACCCCTTTTCCTATCGCAATAGGCCCTGCCTAAAGGGTCCCCATCTTTCCTATAGACGCCTTTTAAGTACTGGAAGGCTGTTATAACATCTCCCTGGAGCCTTCTCTTCTCCAGGTCAAACAACCCTCTCTCAGCCTGTCTCCATAGGAGAGGTGTTCCATCCCTCTGATTGTTCTTGCGGCCCTCTGGACCTGCTCCAACAGGTCCATGTCTTTCCTTTGCTGAGGACCCCAGAGTTGGATGCAGTACTCCAGGTGGAGTCTCACAAGAGCAGAATGGAGGGGCAGAATCACCTCCCTTGACCTGCTGATCACACTTGATGCAGTCCACTATACAATTGGCTTTCTGAGCTGCAAACACGCATTGCCGGGTGTCTCAGTTTAATGAGACTGAAGTGTTTTGCTAAGGAGGATGAGTTATGAGGAATTATTTTAAAATATTACCACACATTTTTACTCATAGAAGCATTTTAATTTCTAGCTTTTGACTTTAGCATTAAATACCTGATCATGTACTACTTTAGCTTCTTTACTAGAAAACTGCAAGAGGATTATTATCCAAGGCATAATAATAATGAGAAGAAAACAAAAAAAATTTAAACCTTCATGTGTAATCCATGTAAATACTTCATTCTCCATCATAATTGAACCATTAGAGGCATTGCAAAACACTGTGCCATGTGGTTATAT